GAGAGGAGTAGCTTTTACTTCATCTGAGCTTACCTCCTCCTTACCTCTGAGCTCGGGCAAGACGCGAGTAGCAGTTCGGCGAGCTCGTCGGCGTCTCCGCTGCTGCTTCGTCGGCTCGATGTTGGTGTTGCTTGCTTCAGTATTACCGAGCTCGATGGGCTCGGACTATTGATGGTAGCTCTGAACCGAAGGACCCTGCCTGTAGTCTGCGGCTAGGACCTCAAACAAATTTCCTACGAACGGAAGCTCGAAATAAGAGTGCTGGGTTAATGCGGGCTTGACCGACAGGGAGGCCCCCGACTTGCCCACAGGCTGCGAGGCGGGGGTGGCTGGCCTCTCCTTTCTACCATAGGATGAGGCTTGGCTTTTGGAAGGATCCTGGGCCTGAGAGGCTTCTCCTTGGCGAGGTTGTTCACTCCGACGGGAGGGCTTGGTTTGCTTCGTGGCCGGGTGTCGAGGGGGAAGCGGCTGTTGGACCTGAGAAAAGGAAGGGAACTGCTGCTGGTACTGGTACTGAGAGACCTGATGCATCACTTGTTGTTGGTAGAGTTGGAACTGCTAGAACTGCTGCATTTGAGCTTGCATGGCTCGCATGCACTGCACAAGGTCTTCCAACTAGTTCTGTTTGGTCACTGGGGGCACAACCGAAGGTTCAGCAAAGGTCGCTCCAACCGTGGAAGGGAGTGGAGCGTTCACGGGTACCATTGTGAGAGGTACGTTCAAGCTGGGAATTCCGTCCACCGAGAGGGGAACGGTGAACTGTCTGATACAGACAATGGGGAGCTGGGGTTGCTCCCCAGAAGCATTCTGGTTGGTACCACGTCCGGCATTGCTGGAGGAGGCCATGAATGCTAAGTTCTCAAAAGGAAATTGTAGAAACTTAGAGGAAGGATTTTTTAAGTGTGTTCCCACAGACGGCGCCAAATGATGTTGTGCAATCCGGGCACTCCTAGCTGACAGTTGACTGGCTCTTGGCTGGCGACGGACGGTACCTAAGAAGAAAATGGTGAATGATTCCCGGGGACTTGCCCGGTGGGAATACTTCGATGCTTAAGTTAGAACGCTGGAGAAAGTAGTAAAGAGTGCAAAGAAGGCTAAGAGTGCAGATCGCGCTAGATCACAGAATGTTCGAGATTAGCTCGAGCGAGAGTTCAGATATATTCAAGATGTTCAAGATCCCTTTTCCCCTTCGACCATGGGGCTCTTAAATATGAGCGTTCTTGTCAAATCGGGCATAACCGCCACTGACCCTCTGTCGCAGTCGTTATCTACTTGGGCTGCGCAGGTAACCGTTGCAGAGTACTACCCAATCGGATGAGTGACACGTCTCGAAAGGATAGACACGCCACCATCTGTCGAGAGACGTGGGTGTAGTCTATCAGGCTGGCAGGGATTGCGCCGCCAGTCAGGAGACGTGGTGCAGTCTGACGAGTACGGTCTTGTCAGATAGAAGCTTCCTGAAAACGTCGCATCGCTTAGTAGCGAGCTATCCCGTAGCGAGCCGCCTTGTAGCGAGCTACCCTATTGCGAGCTACCTTGTAGCGAGCTCCTGGGGGTACTTTGAGGTGATTCCTCTTGAGGTGGCCATTGAAGCAGCTTTTCTGCCTAAGTATTGGAGTGAGCTGGTTATCCTAGCTCGCGAGCTGGGATAGACTTGTCTTGGAGTATTCCCTTTCAGTACGTCGGGGGCCCTTGAGCTCGCGCTGTAACGAGCTCACCCCTCCGTGAGCTGTGACGTAGCGAGCTGTCCTGCGGGCTCATTACTTAGTCGCTGTCAGGCTGTGATGCTGAGCTGTTACTTGTGTTGAGTCATGTTCACGTGTCACCGTCTCAAGGGGTCGGGTCAAATCACCCTCCATCAGTTGTGATTGGCGAGTGGAACCCAACGACTTGGGAGGTGTCACAAGTTGTGTTTGTTTTTTATTTCGTGTCTAGCAAATGGCAAAATGGGGCGAACATGCCGGGGGCCTCACGGACATGTGCATCGGATTCCAATCAGATGGTTTTTTGTCGCCGGAGGGCATGACGAGGAGAAGAATGCACTCAAGCCCGAGCACAACTATACCTGCTTACCATCTTATGTTTCTTAAGCCTACTACTGGCATGTAGGGTAACCTGTCACTGGTTCTGGGGTTTTTCAGGAGGTTGTCGTTGTTCTGCCAATGTGCTAGGGTTGGTCAGAAGCTGGTTGTGATTGGCGGGCGCCAGGTCGAACTCGATGACTTGGGAGGTGTCAAAAGTTGTGTTTGTTTTTTATTTCGTTTCATGCAAATGGCACAATGGAGCGAACATGCCGATCATATGGTTTTTGTCGTCGGAGGGCATGACGAGGAGAAGAATGCAAGTCCGAGATGTTGTATGACATGGCGGAGGACGAATGGACCCTACTACCTGACATGGACAAGCAACAGGATGAGTTGAAGGGGATCTTTCACGCTGGCAAGTTCCTCGTCATAGGGGGGCATTCCATGGAGATGTAGGAATGGTTGAAGAGGAGTGTAGAGGCTTTTGTTGTTGCCACATGGCAATGGGACCAGGTGGACAAGGGTGTCCTGGACATCAATTCGTATCTGGGAACTTGCGTGGTAGGGGGTGAAGGGAAGTTGTAAAGGTGTAGGGCGGGCGGGCCATGTGGCAGTCTTAGTAAAAATAGATGCAATTAATTTGTAAAAGGGTAAAATAGATATTTCCAAATTTTGATTAACCTATTTAACGTTTTTCATCTTGGTCATTGACAAAAGGGAGGTTATTGTCAAATTGTTTAAAAATCTATGAAAGATTTTTGCTAAAGTAAAATTATAGGGGAGGTTTTTATGATTGTCAGAAACTTTAGGTGAAATTTTTATATTTTACCCTAACAAAAAAAGGGTTTACTTAGACAAGCTTTACATTTTTACAGTTTTCCTACCTCCCACTTTGCATTTTATTAAAGCACATTCTATAATTTGCAATTACTTTACTTATTCAACCCTTGGCCCATAACTTTTTTTGTTTTCATTTAGGAATTGCCACCTTTTTTTAGGGAAAATTCACAATAGGTACCATGTACTTTAGGCCGAGTGTCGATTTAGCACCCGAACTTTAAAGTGTGACAATCTAATACCCGAACTTTCGAAATGCAACAATATAATACCTGTTGTTAACCAGCTGTTAAGTGTCATGGGAAAAGACATAAATGCCCTTCAAGTGTCATCTAACTTTCTTTATCAACCTTCTATTAATAAAGCAACAATGACCCCAACTTCCCACTGGCCAAACCAAGACTGAATTTCCTGCACTCGTTTGGTATGTGCCAAGGTGCACTTCTAATGAGATTGGAGCACGTAAGACTAGATTTCCTACACTCGTTTGGTATGTGCCAAGGTGCACTTCTAATGAGATTGGAACACGTTGATGTTCCATTTCTTCTTCCCTCTCCTTTATTCCTCCCCTCCTCCCTCCTCCCTCCTCCCTCTAAGTTACAGAGAAATGAAAATAGAGAGTTTTCTGCATGGGCTATGGGCTCATTAGAAATACAAATAGTCAAACTGAGAAATGTTGCCTTGATGTCCTAAGTTTTCTTCGTGGGCAATGGGCTATGGGGGCGGTTCATTAGAAATACAAATAATCAAACTGCAAGCCATTAGAAATACAAATAGAAAGCTCAGGTTCTGACAAAGAAGAAAACTCAGGACATCAACTGAGGGGCGTCTGACTTACTGCATCAAGAAGAAAACTGCAGATTGTATTTCTAATGGCTTGCGTTTGACTAACTGCGTCAACTGCGTCAACTGAGGGGCGGTTCTGACGAATCGCCTTGATGTCCTAGGAGCGGTTCATAACAGAGTTTTCTTCTTTGTCAACTGCAACCCCTTTCTTCTGTCTTGATGTCCTGCTTCCTTGACATCATACATCAAGATGACGAAGCCAGAAGAAGCATGAAACAAAGGGCTTGCAGTTGCAGAAGTAGGGTGGGTAGATTAGCATGGGTGTAGCTATGGAGGTACTTTACTTATCATCCTTTCCGAAATGTTTCGGAAATGTTACATTTAAAACAAACTGAGAAAGTATATGAGACATTCACCAACTGATCCAACAACCGATACAAGTGTAGGACAACTGAACCAAATTGGTTCTTTGTAAAAGTCTGGTGACTCTCCTCCAACTTTCAACGATGGAGTCATATGTGATGAGTGAGTGTTAGTATGATCAGTTTGTTAGTAATCATTCAATAACCAACTCAATTCAAAGAAACACAACTCAGAGATCAAAGATCCTAGCAATGTTCGTGTTGCCATGTTTTGCGGTGGAGAGTGCGTACAAGATATGGTGGTACAGCTCCGGGGCCACTCGAATCCCATTCTTGGGTAACGTTTACGTGAGCGATGCCTTGGCATGTACGTTGAAGTTGTGTTCGTGGCTCTACCAGATCACCTTCTTCCTCGTCAGCGTTCTCTTCCGCCTCATCTGCTTACTTCAGATTCTCAGGATTCAAGACTTTTCCCAAGTGTTCCTTTGTTCCATTTCATGGTCAACGAGCGCCCTTGTTTCTCTCTCCTCTTCCATAGTTCCTATTCCGCCTCTGTGGTAGTTCTCTCTCTCTTGATCAGGAGCGATAGTGGCAGCTACAGTGGTGAACTGAGAACACCACCCTTCCCACTGGCCATGGTGGCTTCCAACAGCGAACCTGACTCTTGTGCTTTCATCATTAAAGAAGTTGGCTTGGGCTCTGTTTTATTTTCTGGAGAAAGACCGTGGCATTCTCAAAAGTTCAAGTATTAAATTGTCACGCTTTAAAGTTTCGATACTAAATTAGCACTCGGTCTAAAATACAGGGTACCTAAATTTTCCCTTTTTTATCTAAGATTTTTTATTTCAAAAATACCCCTAAAAGTTCTTAGTTTTTTTTTTTATTATTTTAAGGGGTATGTGACCGTTCCGGGACGGAAATACGAATAGGGGATACGTAAATTACCCAAAAATACAAGACAAGATTTATGCACAAATCACAGCCCAAAAAATGGCGAGATATTCAACCAATTGCACTTTTTTTTTTGTAATAAACCAATTGCACTTAACAAACGTCAGAATTACAGCTACATATCTACAATTTTATCACTACAAGCCATTACAGGCAAAGGCTTCACAAAAATTTTACAATCAAATGTACTCCTAATCACCTAACTTAGACTCGAATCTTTCTCAGAGAGAGCCCTCTTTGTCATCAAATGATTCTGATGAACATTCAGATTCCTCTAGTTGATTCTCCATATTAATACTGCAGCCGTGCTTTTCTTCATTATCACGCCTATCTGACGGAGGAACCAACCCCATGGCAGCAATGCTGTTTGCAACAGCATCAACATCTCTGGTCCCACTATACAGACAACTTCCGGCTACAAGCATTGTATGCATTTTATCAGTGCTATTCAAAACTGCAGGCAGCACATCCATCAGCTGTGGATTTGTCTGTGTCGAACTGATTAGAAGCCGAAGAGTCTCCCTTGCACCCTTCTCCACTGCTGATTCGGTTTCTGGAATTAACGGGTTCACAAATTTAGGATGCAAAGGAGGAATGGTTGTCGAAATAGCAGCCCCTGCACTCACCAGGTACCCTTGGCCAGAGGAGCAAACATCAATCACTGGAATGTGTACAATAGGGTCACAAATTAATGGTGTAAAAGTAGGAATTTGCTGTGAGTTTGGCATGTTGATAAATGGAGGGTCTGGCAAGAAGGCTGGAAAATCCAATGAAGGAAATTCAGATAAATTTAGAGATGGCTTTGATGGAGTCATTGAGCTAGATGACCTCATAACTGCCGAGAAAGATGACAGTGGTGGTAGTGACACAGATTCAGTTGATGCAACAGGCAGTTGAGACGGTACCGTTGTATGCTTTAGGGATGATGCACAAGGAGGGCACCAACAGTAATGTGGGGAGAAATGAGAGACACTGGGAGCCGAAACATGTGATGTGGGAATCAAAAATGCCGGCAAACTAGAAGTTGGAGAGGTAGAATTTTCAAGAGATTTCAGGAAGCTCAATGGCAACAAAGGGGAAGGCCCACTTATCTCCAGAGACTTGTCATTTTCAATTTGGCTTGCCCTAGATACTTCTGCCGCAGATGCGGAAGCAACAGGCATGTTATCAATGGCTAAAGCATGGCTGTCTCCAAGCCTCCTAAACTTATCTCTGGCCCCACTTCTTGCAAGGGACATGCTTCTCTGCATCCCCTCTTCAAAGGAATTTGATCGTGGGCTGAGGCTGCCTTGATAGGGTAAATGTGCTTTAGTTGCTAAAACGCTATTATGCCGGAGGCGGGAAGGCTTTGATGATGCAGAAGAGCATTGGTTGTTTTGGTCAAAGTCTGAAGGATTGAATGCACTATCAGTTAAAGAGGTTGAAGAGACTACTGAATTTACTTCTGTGTTGTTTCTCATGGTGGATCCAAGAAGATAAGCACGGAGATGAGTTGCAAAGCAGTCAAGGCGTGACTCACTAATGCCAGTTAACTGAGCTAGAGTGGGCTTCCTCCTCAGCAGATCCTTCATCTGCACCATATTGAAAAGGAGGGAATAAAATTAAGAAGGCATTCTCAATATGAGAATTTGCATTAATGGGAATTTAAACACAACATTTCAGTACTAAAAACAGTGAAGAAGTAACCCTGCAAATACAGGAGTAACCATATGCTCTAATTCTCAATATCATACAGATTGATATTGTTTTTGCCTCTCACGGAGGCTGTATCCATTTGAAAAAACTTGTGTAGAAATCAACAGTCAAAATTTATTTTCAAATGTACCTTTGCAAGCAACTCAATACCAAGGAGCTTTGACCTCTCTGAGCACCAAAAATATGACACTTGAGAACCAAGGAGCCTTATAAGGAAAGAACGACCTGAATTATCAGCTGGTATTTCTTCGATTGCTACTGCTGCGCTTTCAGAACTGTCACTTAATGTAGCCAATCTTTCTGTGCACCCATCATCCCCAATGAATGAAATATGCAGATCAGATGTAGGCAAGAGTGTGAGATTCAGATTTCCCCTGTGCCAATATAGAAGGAAAAAAAATGAAATGAAATTTTTAAAGCATAAAATAAAGAACAAAAGATGTATAAAGACAACATGAAGCATCAAAAGAAAAAGATCAGAACAGCTCTTTATTTCTTTAACATCCACAGACAAGTTCACACAAAGAAATCCAATCCAATTACATGCTTAATGATATACTGGCAACAGAAAACATCTTCATTTATTACTATTTGTTGGAGATTTTATTATCTTTCAAATAAAACTTTGGAAGTTCAAGTTTCAGTAAAAAATATTAGGGAAACATGTTTGAATTTCACATCATTTTCCTTTGTTAGTAGATCTCATATTAGATCTGTCAGTAATGGAAACTATGGTCCAATGTTGGCTCTTTTATTTTCCTGCACAAGCAAATGGTATCAATAATAATATAGTTTCTGGGGCCTGAATTGTCTCTTTTCACCTCTACCTCACATTTCTTTTTCAAAGTGGTTTATACACCAAAGGGCCCCAAGTACAGTATCCGTAGCCCATTGCCTCATTACATAGACGTCATTTGCACAACCGAAAGTGAGGTTCGCCGTTCATGTTTCATCATTATCATCATCATGCATGCCTTATCCCAACTATATGGGGTTGGCTACATGAATCCTGCTTCACCAATCTGTTCTATTTAAAGCCATATCCACTGTTAAATTATTAATGCGTAAATTATTTCTTAATGCTTCTACCCATGTCCTTTTTTGTCTACCCCAAGCTCTTCTAGCCCCTTGTGTAATAAATCACTTGTTCTAACTGGCGCAGTTGGTGGTCTTCTATGCACATGCCCAATCCATCTTAGTCTACTCTCTCATTTTATCTATTGGAGTTACTCCTAGGCTCCCACGGATAATTTTATTCCTAATCCTATCATTTCTAGCTTTTTCACTCGTCCATCTTGGCATTCACGTATTTATCCTTTTATCTGTTTTTTCCACTTTCTAGTTTTTTTACTCATCCATCTTAGCATTCATGTATTCATCCCTTTTACTTCTGTTATATTTCTGATTATCAGGAGATGGCAACAAGGGACAACACTAGGATTACAACAGCACCACTTTTCGAAATTGAAAGTTAATTCATGTTCAACCATCAATGCTCTCATGGATAAGGTCTGCACATGGGTTTTATGCATGTCACCAAAACAACAAAAGTAATTCAACTAAAGCAACTGATATTTGTCAAGGTATATAATATTTCAGCTCTTATTCAGTAACCCACTTGACTTTAACTGTCGAATAGTTTTTCTTTTTCTTCCTCCTTTTTGGTTGGGAGATGTTGGAGGAGAGGTGGTAAGGAGTTGTTCATTTACATCTGAATTTCTATGGACTGATTAATGGCACAAGACAAACTAAGGGTTTGAGAGAATACAAAAAATAAAAAGACCATTGAATGCCCATATTAACTCAAGTGGCACAAAAAAGTCTATTGCAATAAGACAATACAGGTCAAATATAGCCGTTTAGAAACAAGCATGCTAAAATACGAAAACTTGTATAATAGGCATGGAAGTAAGAGGTATATACAAGGCATTTACAAAACAGAAATGCTTCAGAATTTTGGCTTGTATATGAATGCAACATAAATGATACTGAATTGAGATTGTTATGATGGCTGTCAGACAAGTGTGTCCTCCTCGCCATTGGTTGTTCTCATACTATTTTATTTTTATCAAAACTAATCATAAATATTTCTGATTATCACAAGCAAATTATGCATTGAATACCACAGGATAAGACCTAAATGGTAATTTCAATGTATGCAGAACAAATCTCTATAAGAGACTACACTATTTCTACACATGAAGTTGGCTGGAGATTGCAAACAACTTTTGCTATAAAAATTTATTAGTTGATTTCAATTAGTTTAGAAATAAATTACTAGCCCTTTTACTTCTAATGGCATTGACTGAAATGGCCCCGCTTGGCAAGAAAGCACTAAAATTTGTCAAGCATTTGTGAGATTTCAGAAGAGAACCTTCATTTATAGTTCAGCTATTTTAAAATTTTGTTTATGGGGAATTCATGCTACTTTTGCATGAGAAACATGTCAAAGGTTTGTCTCTTTTTTCTGTCAAAGGCCTATCTTCAGGAAGCCAGCTCCAATTCTAAATGACCGAAAACAAGATAATCATTACCTTTTTTTTCTTAAATATCACTCCTGGGGAATGCCTATTTTCACTTGGCTGTGATGTTGTGACCAGAAGAGCCAATTTATTCAGTTTAAAGTCGTGAAGCAACCCCTCCCCCCTTCTATCCACCTGGAGCATTTGGTTGTGTGTGCACAGAGTGAGCATGTGCAGTCATGCACACAGAACACAATACACACACGCGCACACACAAGAGGGAGGGAGNGAGAGAGAGAGAGAGAGAAAGAATTCATGTGTCACCATGTATTTTAATTCTTGATCTGTAGTCATTTTTTCCTTTTTATTTCTTCTTGTTTTTCTTTTCTGATGATTTAGAGTGGTAGATTTTTTTCTCATTTTTCTGTGGACAATGAAAAAATTAACAAACCATCCAAAACATACTACAGTTCCTTACCTTCAGCAATACTGCTGCTATTAACCTAATTCAAGCAAAAGTTTTTTTAGCTTAACTAGAACAGAAATAGATAAATATATGTAACAGCATCCTATGACAACAAAAGATCTGGTAAATATATAATATAACAAGAAAATACATTGGCCCCAATCCAGTCATTAAAAACCAAGAAAGGCAAATGTGGGAATTTAATTTTATCAAAAAGAGAAATAGATCAAATCAGTGTATAAAGTAGGAATGCAGAAACAAGATTTCTCTATCTACACTCAAATATCAAATGGTGATAAACAAATAGCAAAAAAGATATCACATAAACATTAGTAGCTCAAAGTAGTTAAAGATGCCAGCAGGCAACCGTAAACATGCTATTTTATAAGCATTAATACCTCGAGGTTTCTAATCCTCATCTTCCAACTTTCAATTTAAAATAAAAAATTTCTGACTCTATTAACACCATAAAAATATGGGATCTGGAAGTAATAAGGGAGCCATATAATAATACAGGGACTTGAAACTACCTTCACTTCCTCTTAATTCAGAGATCAATATAGAACATCACAAACGCCCACTTTTACCTACAAATCAAAAGATATATTTATTTGGAAGGATGAACAGTGTCACCATTAATAAGATGAAACATAGAACCCTGCAATTTCTGCTAACTATTAACAAATACAGGAGACATTTTGCAGCCATTCTATATTAGATATTGAACTTGATAGTGGTGGACAAAGTTCCAACCAGATAAAGATGCCTTCTAGAGCAAAGAAATAAAAATTTCAAAGTAAATATCAATGAGAAACTTTAAGCAAATTGTATTCAGTTCAATTACAGGTGGGAATCAAAAATGTTGCAACAGTAGATAAAATCAAATGGGAAAGCAGAACCAAGTAAATATAGATAGATAAAGATGGTATAAATGTTCAAAACCAATTTAGTTCAACAAAGATAAAATCAAATGGAAAACAGAATAAAAAGCACAAGTCAATAAAAGTAGTAATAAAGAAGGAACATGTTGAACTCCATCAACAATACAAATAATAGAATCCGGTTACATGAATTTTTTTTGCTGCATTTGTTAAGTAAATTTGCTTGTTTAACAATATCAAGATTGGGAAATAATTGTTATTTAACTGTTCCCTGACAGAACCAATCGAAGCTTAATTAACACCAACCTCCATGGTTCTCCTTGTTCTTAAGTGTATATCCTAACAACAAGACAATATGACATTCTCCCAGTGTCAAGATTGAGTTGTTTCAGGCTATACAATTTAAAATACAGCAGACAAGATAGAAACAAGATGACCTCCATAGAAGAAGGCCTGCACTACATATAAAGGATAACATTTGTACCCTAAAGCAAGTTTTTCTGATAGATATACCCTGAAGCAAGTTCTGAAATAGAAAATGATAAATACCTGTGGTCCAGAGAATTCATAGGGTTAGAAAGGAATAAATGATGCTTTCAAAGGAATTTTATGGGGCTTTTAAGTTTTTTAGCAACAGAATGGCCATCTCTGTTCCCAACTGTATATTCATGATTTCATGTCAGTAAACAATGTTATAATGATATAGGAACATAAACATGCCTAGTAAAGATGACTCCATTAGTAGCTCATTCCATCATAAAGACTAGCAACCCCAGCCCTAAAAAAGGAAAAACATAAAATTGCTGTGTATGAAGTATCATATTCTATTATTCCACCTTATGAATCTGCCAACAACAAAATGCCCACATAAGCACAAAGAGTGAAAATGGTGTGATTTTATCATAGATCTAACTTTGAATATTTAATGACAAACACCATAGGAAAAATGAAGCAGTAGTTAGTCACTTTAACTTGCACAGCACTAAAAAAACCAAAAAAAAAAAAAACAATTACAGATAAAAGAAAAGAAAAGCTGATACAATATTCCACAAAGGAGCAACTCATATCTAATATGTTAACTCATGCATCTCAGTTGGAGGGTTTACTTATCATGCAATGCATAAAAATACCAGAAGGAATTTGAACCAGTAGGTGAACACAATCATGAAACAAGGGGAAATTTTAATACATAAAATCTCTAGATGACACATTGACAAATATCAAACAAGCTTACCTAGTTTCTTCTCAACAAAATCAGGACTGAAACAAGAAAGCAATGCCAGCTAGTTTGTTATCAACAAGCATCAGTATTCTTGACTAATTGAGTATTCAAACCCATCCATATGTTACATCAGCAGCATACCACTGAAGACAGATAAGACAGCTAAGGGCAGTGAACGATTTTCTGATATATATATATGTTATTTATATTCCTAATATTAGGGCCCTCAGTGAAACTCAACTCATTTGAGCCTTAACCCCAACTATTTGGGGTAGGCAGCATGAATCCTGTCCCACCATTTTGCTCTACCAAGAGCATTGTTTTCTGTGAAATTATAAGTCTATTGTCTATAGTGAATATGACTATTAATGTAATTGCTTGAAATATCAGACTAGAATTTTGAATCAATTACATATGATGCACCTAGCACAATGTATATATCACTTACACCGCATCGTATCTTGACTTGCATTTAAATAACTTCTATAGAGAACAGTACGTAATAAATAAAGAAAATCTATCTAAAACAAGATAAAATCAATCAATTCGATGTAAAAATATAAAATAAAATTAAAGATAAGAAGAATTGGATACAAAATAAAATCTATCTAAACACTTAAACAATCAACTACCTTGTAACTTTATCAAAAAAAAAAAAAATCAACTATCTTGTAACAGTCGAACATAGAAGAGACAAGCATAAACAGGTAATTTCAACTACCTTGTAGCAGTTGGACATAGAAGAGTCCCCTGCTTGACGACCTTTCCAACGCGAATGGAAACAAGAGGAACACCCAAGCACCTCGCCAACATACCAACCTCCGAAGCCTCGAAATGCTGTTCATGTATTAAAGAATAACTCTTAGCATGAGAGATAATAACACGAAATCACACTATTTAACAGGCTCAATCGTAAATGATCTGAATTCTGAATAACAAAATCCTTAAATTGCAGTAGATGGTGGACAACCAGCAAAACATCAATCTAGTAATATTTTCTCTATCGATAAACATCGGCATATACTTTTTATGGTAACGGAGGAGGAAAGGGACTGCAGATATGCGGGTGTGCTGTTACGGACCTGGTTTAGATGAGCCAGCAATCGATCTTCAGCAACACCACTCGAGGCATTCAGCTTGAGCAACGGTTTTAGCCTTTCATCGGCACGGCACGCCCCCATAACCTGCAAATCCAGGGCCTGTAGCCACTGCAGTACGCTGTTTTCCCGGTCGCTTTGCTGAAGCAACAGATCTCCATCACCTCCATCTCTGAAAATAACCCTAAGCCTCTCAGTGAGCCCGCTCTCACTTCCAGAGTTTGTACCACTCTCCCGAGCAGTGCTCGAAGGTCCGGTAGATCCAACAGAAGAGGTTTCATTACCGGTCGGGGAAACATCAGAAGACGGTGGTGCATCAGTGGATTGAATTACATTGTCCGAATCCTCGATCTTGCCATCATCAATAAATTCCTCTTTCTTAGAGTTAACCATTAGGAATCTCAAAAATTAAAATTCAATTACAGCTATGTAAACGTCTTAGGTCCGAAGGTAATTGGGATCCACTGTATGAGAACCAAAAGCCCCTGATATCGAACAAGAGGTCGATCAAGAACCCTAGATGTTACGATGAAAATGGGGAGTAATCGATTAGCAAAGCATCTCAATAGAAATTTGAAACCAGACGGCCGGAGACGATGGATATTGGAAAGTAGAAACACCACCCAGGCAATGTAATTCGCCCTCGAGCGTCGTCGCTCCCACGAAGCACGAAAGTTGATCTCGACGAAGAACGATGGGAGGCGCGGGGAGGATATATAATGGAGACCCTCCGGACTTGAAAGGGGTTCATAAATTGTGCCTTTTTGGCGAGTATAGATCCGGACGCAATTGATTACATTTGTTCCACGTCAGTCTTCTTTTCAGAGGCCCCCCGATCCTGGCTTGGGGGAGCCACACGAACCGGCAGACAGCATGAATCCACGTCATCGCAATATTTTTCCAATGACAGCATGTGTTGGCTCGGATGGATTGTCATCAGTAAACCAAGAGCACAAAAACACTGGTGGCTCCAGGACGATACTGTGATTTCCAAATCGTAGGGTTCTCAAAAGCCGCTTCTGAATTTGTTCTTTTCATTTGATCGCTAGAGAATGACCCCGTATTAATTACGGGGTAACTAATTATGTGTATAATTTAGTTTGAAATTACGGGGTAACTAATTATGTGTATAATTTAGTTATCAAAATTAAATTAAAAAAATTAATATGAGTCTTACATTTTTGTAATTGAGAATTAATATGAGTCTTACATTTTTCTCATTTAATTTAAGATCTTATTGGTAAATAACAATCCACTTTATTTAGTATTTACTATTTATCTATTTTGAGTTATTTATTTTTAAAAGTTAAATTAGATTGCTTCCTAAAAGTTAAATCAAGTTTGTAATTAATAAATTATTTTCTTTTAAAAAAAATCACTTAAAAACAAACGGGGTTTATGGTAATTTTTTAATGGGTCCCACCATTTGTATTTAATATATTATGTATAAACATGTTTAGGAGTGAAACTACTATATATTGAAAATGTTTAGGAGTGAAACTACCCACATTTTGAATCCTAATACTTGAATTAATAAGATACGACTGTTTGAGTGGTGATAGTGGACTATGGGTTGTGGGCTTTAGCATCAACTTCTCAGAAAATGTCATATATCTAACTTTCCAGAAAAATGAGAAAGCCACATATCTTAATGATGGGGGGTTGTAGCTTGGTAGTTGTTTGTGGGCTTTACTAGGATTTTCTCTGAAATTGCCACATGTTTAGCTTTTCAGAAAATAAGAAGGCCACTTTTCTGAAATGGTGGTGGTAGGGGTGATCATGGGCCGGGTCCGGGCCAGGCTTTGCACTTATGATAAGGGCTATAGCTTAGGCCTGGGCCCGGGCCGGCTCGGGATTCTAGGCCTAAATCATAAGCCCTAGCCTAAGTCTATATCGGACCGGGCTTGATTCTAGGCCAATGTCACTCATATGTAAAACATTACATATCTATATTAAATGACATAACATGCATATAAACTTATTTTATACATTATATATGCAGGTTGGGCTTGAAGTATTAAGCCCAAGCCCGACTCTAAAATTTGTAGGCCTGGGTCGGGCCTGAACACAAAACCCAAGCCCAAGCCCGAAAATTTCGGGCCGGGCTGAAATGATCACCCCTAAGTGATGGTAATGGATTATGGGATTTAATAACAATTTCTCAATAAATGCCATATGTCTAGATTTCCAAATAAAAATGAAAAAATCACTTATATGAATGATGGAAGGTTATAGTCTGAAGACCATACTTTAATATATGTACTAATGAAAAAATCACTTATATGCATGTATATGTTGGAGTGCTGATAACTTGAGAGCATATGCACACATGACCGCACGTGTTCATCTCTTACAACTAATTTTAAATAACTCCTTTCTCCAATAAGATCCCACCACAAGGATTTTGGCTGCACATGGCATATGGAAAATATCTTGGTAGATATGTAGGGTGATGCTACAGGAGAGCCGGAGAGCACCCCTACCATGTGAGTACTGAGCGTAACGTGATTAAATCTGGTATCTGGATCGTTTAATAAACAACTTCCTATATCAAGAGGGTAGGGATCTGCTAATGCTACTAGTAAAATATTTTTCACACCTTCTCAACAGGCCACTGCCGCCAGCCCGCCATGCACAGATAAGAGAGAGATGTTACCAATGTTGTGTCACTGTCATGATTAGTTGGAACAGTGTTGTGAGTGTTCATTGATAGTAGATCTGAACTCCATAAAAAACTAAAGAGTGGTCCCGTTGGAACATGCTTAGCTTCACAGGATGTAGGTAGCTAGATACAAAACTGATTTTGTTTATATTCATATTGAAATTGGATTTTATTCATTGGTTTTATATGATTATATCATATTAGAATTGAATTAGGATTGCAATTGCATATTAAATAATATAAATAAATTAAAAGTAAAATTGATCAAAATATTATACTATATCAATAAAAATAATTTGGTATTGTATTTTAGGCTTAGTTTGGAAGGATACAAAGAGTGCAAAACTTTATTTTCTACATATTTGCACTGTATACAGTACATATTTATAGTTGTAAGGAGTATAAATACAAATGTGCAAGATTCAAAATATCGACATGTATCAACTTGTATATATATCGTTTCGAGACCCTTCCGATATGTCTCTATAGTGGATGTATCAGAGATCTGACTGATTCAGGGGGCGGAGGAGCCCTGAATCAGCCCCCCTGAACCGGTTTTAGAAAAAAAAAAACAATATCTTGAACCTTACAAACATGTACAGTACAAAACCCTATATGTTTTGAACAAAATGAATTAAAAATTACTTGTATGACTTTAATTTATGACAATATAAGTAAGCATGCATGACATTTAAACCAACTTTATTAAATCCCACTTCAGGGTGGGGGTTATGGGTTTGGGGGACAGGCTACTTCTGTCATATAGTCCTATGAAGCCGTCAGATAATTCATCAAAATTAAGCAACGTCTGTCTACGTAAAATTATGCTAATATTTCATATTTTTAATCACCACCTTGTGGTCTCACATTTCAAAGGCAAAAAGTCAAACTAGTTGGGTAATTTAGTGAAACTTCTTCCAATGACCTAAGGCTCAATTTGGAAAGAAGTTTTGCACTATACTTATTTGTGTTTGTAATTCTTCCAAATTGAGTTCCGTTTGTTTGCGATATAAGCATTGAATCGGATATTTATATATTCTGGTTTGTATTTGTGAGCATATGTTTGACATGTAAAAAAGTAATAATTAAGATATTAGAACTGTATTTTATATGATTTTCAAAATTGAATTGGACCAGATGGTCAAACAGAAAAAATCGGGAATCAGTCAGGTAACCTGTTTTATTTTTTGCCAAAATTGGATTTTGGCCAAAAAACGTTGATTTGGTCAGCAAACCGCTGACTCGGGTGGTCGAACCGTTCACTGGTTTTGACCGTTTTTTATTTTTTAATTTTTTTTTTGTCAAAACAGATCAAACCATTCGGTTTGAACGGTCGGGCCATTTGACTCGAGAACCAGACCCCTGACCAGTTCGTTCCCCGAATCGGTTTTAAAAACCTTGGTATTTTATGACATTTTTGTACTCAGGTGAGAGCATTACTGTATCTATTTTTTGATACAATTTTGTGCTTTTTATAATTTTGTTTTTTGACCAAAATGTAAGAAATTGGAGCATTAATGATAAGGCCCATGCTTTACACCAATTTCAAACAAACAAGATAAATACAAAAATGATTTAAAAATGTGAACCATGTTTACATTCATGACACAAAAAAGAAGATAATTATATAAAGTACATATTTGCATTTGCATCGCAACCAAACACAATCTAAAAGAATCATTCATAATTTAATTTCATGTAGTAAACTGGTTTGGAACTCGAAAGGGGTTTTCTATATATATCCATCCTCTTGTTCCCTATTGATAAAAAAAAAAAAAAAAAAAAAAAAAAAAAAAAAAAAAAACTCAGCCCAATAAACCTATGATACGTGTAAGATAAATCCTTCTTTATCGCTAACTTTCATATTTGTGAAAATCATGCACCAAAGAAAGATTTTCCAAAACTATCCTGTATACTCTCTAATATTACATGATTAATCCAATGGAGGATGGAGACCTATCAAATGGGCGGATCCTTTATTTTTGGGTACTATATAGTATATACTTCAGATTTAAGTCTAGGGGGTGGGCGGAGAAGGGTGCAGGTAATTAAGGCTATTAAGCCCATTTGGGCAGTACACGGAAAGCCTACAGATCCATGAATTTGGTTCTGCACCTCCTCTATGGGTCACTGGCAAACAAGTCTCAATTGATCCAAGATCCTTCCCTGCTGCAGAAATAGATAAATTCGCTTATGAAAACTACCTACTTGATCAAATATCACATGTGGGTCTCGTGTATATTGAATACCGATGTATTCGCTTGTGATTCATGTAACTAGGTTGCACATTTTATGTTTGCATTAAATCCCGATTCATTTTTTTAGTGCAAAAAGTATTATATAATTCCACTTTGTTTTATTTAATATGATGATGATATCTTTTCAGTATTAATTATGACGATGGACTTCTATCCGTAAGGTATAAAATTAATGTTTTTTTGAGGTATGATTAGTTATCAAATACCTTTAAAACAACGACCACTTGGTATGTCAAGGAAATAGAGTTGTCCTTGGTCGGGTCCTCGGATATAATCAAACCAATTATATCGATTCTGGTTATATGATTTATTTACCAATTAATTAATAATTTCACTAAAAACATGAAACAAAACCACACCAAAATAGTTCGGAGTCCATGCATGATGCAAAACAGATGCACATTAGCGCTTGGTTGGATGTGTTACTGTGCAACAGTTTGAATGCGTCAGCCCAAAAGCATGTGAATTGTGAAGAAAGCTGGAGCAGCAGCATGAAAGGAGTTTGGATTTATTTCTCACATCAATTTCATAGTATGTTTCAAACTTTCAATCGCACATCGGGAATATTTTTAGTATTTGTATATTATTATTTATGAGAGGTATTCCCAATACACGGTAAGATCTGACCATAAGGTCAGTGTGAGGAGCAGCAGATCTCAATTCCACTTGAGGCACAATGGCTTTGAATCTGGCTGATGTTTACCTGGCTGTCCTTTACTGCAACTGCTTTTGCAATTTTTATTATACATCATATCTTAAAGGATAAATTTTATAGATATA